ACTCAGAATCACTGCGGCGCCGTTGATGTGACGGCTGGAACGGGATCCTGTCTGCAGTGGATTCAGGCGCAGGCTCAACTGATGGTTGCATCAACGGATGCTCATCAACTTGAGGCAAGGGGTTTGAAGGCAATGCCGAGGCAGAGGACAGTCTCCGATTGGGTGTTGATGCACCTGAAGATACCGCAGATAAGCCTGGCTCAGCAGGTGTCGATGGAGGGGGATGGGGACCCGGAGGACTCTCCGAGAGAGTCGAAGGGAGTGACGGGAACGGAACGCGAGTTCCAGCGTCAGAAAACCTTCGCGCGCCTCGAAGGCCCTGGGGTGAGGTTTCAATGTTCGTCGACAAAGGGCTAGGGGTACCGAGTTGTTGTCGATTAGGTACGAATCGTGACCGATTATCAGCAAGAGGAACTGCGGGACCGTTGTCCAGACCTCGTGGTGGATTTCCTGGTGCTAGGAATGGTAGCCGCAATAATGCGTCCAAGCCTGGCGCAGCATTCGACTGTTGATCGCCAAACGGCCCACTGCCTGTGGGAACAGATCGGACGCCCACAACTACCAAGGTGACGGTGCGGCCCTCGTTATCCCCGGCGGGATTGTCAACGTCCATGCCATCGCCACGACTACCGGCAGAATCCGGTTCCGTAGTTGAGTGATTTGAGGAAGCCGCAGGAGTTGGATTGTCTGAGTTGGCAAACCTGAAAACCCGTAGAAAGTTAACAGGCTGGGGAGGGCTGTTCTCTCCTGAAGCACTTCCGGTGTCACTCGAGGCGGTTTGTGCTGATGTGGCATGCTGTAGACTTTGGATGAAGTTTTCGAGCGACCCTTCTAGGCCATCATTGCCCAAAGACTGGATGTTGGGCAGTACTGGGCCCGCCGCGCCAGAGAGCTGGGCAGCAATCGCAGCCGCAGCCAATTGCAGAACCCGTGAAAGAGGAGTGTGCTCATCACGCCGAAGAACTCTGGAGGGTCTTGCACGTAAAGGTCCCGGTAATTGACGTGAAGCCGAAGTGTTCTGAGTGGACTGTGAGAAGAGTGGCGGCATTGGCAGACGATTGCCACCCGCTGCAGGTTCCACAGAATCAAGTTCATGCGCGTGATCAAAATCCATGCTAGTGTCCATGGCACTCAGTGGTGGCAGACGAATGTCGGGATGGTCGCCCAGACCCTCCCGGAAATGTGGGTGTTCTGTCATCTCAGGATCTGCGGTGGACGGATGGCCAAACATCTGCGTGATGGGCGCCGATAATGAATTTCGAACGCGGTTCAGTCGGGCACTGCGACGCCACGATCCTCTGGCGGTTTGTGGGGCTTGCTCTGATGATGTGTTCAAGTATGCCGAACTGGTGGGCGTATCAGGAGTCAAGGACGGATCAGTTCGTGGAATAAAATAGGGTACTCTGATCAATCGCCGCCTGGGGATGCTTCTCGAGCTGAGCGACGTGAAAGGACTAAAGCGACTGCTGCTATGAGACTCCGATCTCGGGACTGATCTTGCTACAACTCCATGTCTGTGAGCCTGTCCCTCTGCCGGAGTCTCCTCTTCACTATTAAGAAGGCCACGAATAACTGAGTTCGGTAGTATCCTGGAACCTAATCTCGACATTGTAGACTGACGTCGAGCGGCCATTCGCGCAAGTATCGCAGAGCGATACTCTTGCTGATCCGGTTCGTGCCGAGAACCATCTTCCTCGTGTATACTCTCCATCCTTGTCAACTGAGGTTGCTCAGCAGTTGGAGTATCTGTCGCCTGCCATGTCGCGACCTCTGTATTGCCTTGAGCTGAATGAGAAGTATGGTAGATGCCGCCATTCGGTTCTGCTCCTGACGGGAGCGCGGTGTCCTCGGCCTGATCAGAGTTCGGCCTGTGATTCATGTCTTCATTGAGATTCAGTCGATCACGGTCGGTGCGGAGGAAGGTGGGCTGATCTGAGGGAGTCGTGTGGCGTTGATTCCTTTGTGTAGAAGAGGACTGTCCCATAGTCACGAAGATGTGAGAATGGGAAGTGGCGATGATTGTTTATAAACTGTAGATGGCCATGGAAGGACGGATGACTAAAGAACCCAACATTAGTCAGATGGATAACAGCAGCGACATGCAATCGAACTATGAACACCTGAAGCATACAAAAAGGACGAGCTGATCAAATCACAGATGAAGGCCACAAAGAAAATATAGCAATCCAGAAATATTCGACAACTCGAAGAAGTGGTTCGAGAGTACCTTGGAAGATCTAAGAGAACTGACCTTTAAGCCATACCATACAACATTTGCAAGCACGAGATCCTTGTAATAAGAGGTTTCTGGAGGTCTCAGGAAGCTTTGTTGTCACCACCTAAAGGGGTATTGCCAGAGGACAGTTTCTCCGACGTGTCAGCAGTCCAAGGGTGCAGCCCGCCAGAGGTCGGACACCAAAGGGAGCGACGATCGAAGAGAACAATGAGCGTATCAGTAGCAGAACTGAAGAGCGACTTAGCAAGAATCGAACTAGTGAAGCTGAGCGACGAGACTGTACGGAGTATTATTTATGCTCGTACTGTTGAATACTGTTGAATACTGTTGCTGATGGTGATGACGATGATGGCGGGACGCCGACCATAGACAGGAATCAGAAGATGATAGGCAGTCGACCTCTTTACGGAGTAGTCTTTGGACTCTTTAAGCTATGAGCCAGAGTCCAGACACTAACTACTCTCGTCCCAATTTGAGTTGGTCGCTGTCTAGTAAAGTAGTAGTTAGTAGTGATCGTTGTTGATCTCGTTGTTCGTCATCCAACAGTCCAAGCCTCCAACAGTCCAGCGCTTGGGTGTGGTTTCGGCGGGATTCCAATTTGGCCGATTATTAGTCAAGTCAGCTTGCAGCAGGTGATTCGCCTGTTCCCATTTAGGCCTTGTGGGGCCTTCGGCTCACAACTCACCAGCCAGTACTCCACGGTGAAGGATTCAAGATAGGTACGTCTCTAGTCTACCGCGTCATGAATTTCTAGAAAACAGTCACCTGCAAAGATGGTTCTATTTTGAATGGGTGTTATTATTGTTGAAGCAAAGTATAATACAAGCATAATGATTCACTGCTATTTTCAGGATCATTGCTTTAGTGTGCTTGATGTCTTGAAGCTTCAACTGCTCCAGTTGGAGGATAATATGTCCTCCGCCTGAGAAGACGGCTTTTGATCTGAGCAGAAAAAAAAACGTTACCAGAAGGGGAAAAAAATCACGACTTTCTTGAACTCATACAGGGTCCATCTCCCGTGATTTACCTCTGGTTACTGCTATTTCGGAGTTCGGCATTTGTTATGGCGTTCGTTCCCTCGGCATCTGCGTTCTCTTTGCCTCTTCCATCATGGCAGCAACCTGCCAGCGTGCGGGTAGCTCGCTATGAGGCCAGAAAGCGCAAGAAGCATTCTGATGACTGGGGCGACGACAATGGAGATGGCGAAGGGGAAACGACGGATGCTGCGTCGGAAATAGCGCCCTCTGCTCCGTCGCTAACATTGTCTCCTGAAGAAGCCCATCAATATCGCGTTGCCGGCCTTTCATTCGATCAAGAATTACCTGGAGGTCTCTTCCCTCATGCCCCTGCTAAGAGCGAGTCTACCAAGAAAGAGAATCGTGGCCATATCTTGAAAAGTCTCTCTTCCTTGTCTCCTCCAATATATCCTCCACAATCCAGTGCCTATCAGGGCAATCTTCGACTGCAACACCTGGCAGTCATCACTTCCATTCTGCACCGCTGTCTTCTGCAAGGTGACTACATGCGTGCCGGAAGAGCCTGGGGGTTGATACTCCGCGAAGAATTTGCCGGTTCTCCCATCGATGTTCGCACTGACGGCAGATGGGGCATTGGCGCTGAGATCCTGCTTCGACGTGGCCGCCAGGTAGCAGAGAACGCATCAGGGGTTCAGCTGAATGGTGACGAACACGAAAGCGGAGGAGGGCATGTCTCAAGGCCGTACTTTACACGGAAGGGATTTGAAGATGCCAAGCACTATTACGAGAGGCTTATTATCCAACACCCATACCGCAAGTCCGCTCCCGACGCTATCAGTTCCTTGCATTTTTACCCGGCAATGTTCGGTCTGTGGATATACGTTGTCCAAGAGGAGAGTAATTTAGCCAGAGAAGATATCTACAGTCGCCATGAAGACTCGCCCGGAGAATTTTCGGAAGATGAAGAATTAGGGCAAGGGTTCGACGGCGAATCCGGATCTAAGCACAGAAAGCATCAGCTTATTACGGGCGTACGAGCGCGTGAACTCGAAGAAGCACAGCAAATTGCGGCGAGGATGGATGAGATACTTGTCTCTCCCCCGTACTCGGATTCTCCTGAGCTGTTGGAGCTCAGGGGTATGGTATCACTTTGGATTGGAGATCTCTTTGTGTCATGTGTCCCACGCCAAGAGGACGAGGAATATGATATTGACGATCGCAGTTCTGTGAAAGAGGATGCCGACCATCTGCATGACTCTATTCAAGCCAGACGTGAGCGACGACTTGCAATGGAAAAAAGACAGTCGGAAATTCTCAAATCCAGAGAATTCCTTGAAAAAGCAAGGCAACGTGGCAGAAGTGTTGCCTCCACATTGGAGCACTTTCACATTGATGACAATGCTTCGATGGCTTCATCTGGTATGGGGTTCTAGAAGATCTCAACTTTGCGCTTGGTTCATGAATGGGAATGTGTTGTATGTAAATAGCTTAACAATCACAGATAAACCTCATAAACACGTAACTTGAAACTAACCTTATCTTCCTCTCTGCTGCAATCCAGCTGCTTATCGCCACGTGACTTCGTGAGTATCAGTCCGGCGCCCCGTGGAAATAACGCGTTTGGAATCTGCTCTTGGGCAGCCAGAATTTGAATATTGACGCTGAGATTGACAATCTCACCGCTTTGTAGGCAGTGACCGGCATATTCCATATCAATCTACTGCGGTGAACATTCAGCGAGCTTAAGATTGAATGTCTGCCTTCCGAAGCCTTTGATCCAAGTAACCATGGGGGTGGGAGACTATATCCATTCCAAGGAGGCTGGTCCACCTCGTCAATCCAAGGCTGATGCACCGAATCAGTCCCGGCAGCTCTTAGCGCAACAGGCGAGAGTCGAAGTTCCCCAAACTCAACTTGTTGCTCCCGTGCCTGTGGGGATGAATGGAAGAGCACAATTGGATGCTTATGGGGGAGTGACATTTCCAGAGGCGTCGCAGGCAGCGCATGAAAGTGGCGTGCACCGGGACATGTTTGACACGGACGTTGAGGGGATCGATGAGTCGACTGTTGCTGGAACAAGCGTGGTTGATGTTGAAGAAATTCAACGACCGCAACAGCAGCAACATCACTTGCCGCCAGTGCAGAGTGTGCTGTACCAGGAGCCAGAAGGGAAGATTCTGCATCAATTCCGTCACGGACGTCGTCCATATTCGTCGAACTGGTATGAGAACTTGGGAGACAAGGCCATCAAAACTGCGGGCTTCGAATCAGCTGATGCCGATGCCGACGATGATACCAGCCAAATGACGTCCGTCGCGGGCGACGATAAAACTGAAGATAATAACGACTGGTACATGTCCCATGGACACCGTCATGCGGAGGAACCTCTAAGCAAACGTCTAGAAGGCTTCTGGAGTGCCAGTAAACGAAAACATACTAAGCCCGGCCACCAGAGTCAGGGGGAATTGGCAAAGTTCTCTACTACGTTTTCATCAGCAAACGCAGGCAGGAGAATTGTCCTCCCTCGCAGTATGACAGCAACTCCGAGGACGCGTTTCAGCCCGCCAAAGCCGTCCCTCCTCGACAAGCTGGACATCTCTCCAACTCGGCGCACCACCGGCCCAAGAGCACAACCTCAGAGAAAAGACAGCATTACCAGATTCCACTCCCATGGAGCGGATGGAGACCCAGAGCTATTCGCAAATGATCATGGAAAGGGCGACAGCGAACCATCCTTAACTGCGTTCGACATTACCCATTTCGACGATCTCGACGACGACGAGACGATCCGCGATCCTTTCTCTAGACGTGCTTCGGTCAAGCGCATAAGCTCAGATACGACCCAGACGAAGAAGCGAAGCCTAGAAGCAGACTATCCTCCTGAAATTTTGTCCAAGAAGACTCTTGAAGAACTCCAGGCTGAGCCGTTTGATTTCGATCCCGCCACTGCACGAGCCACCGCTACCTTGAACCCATCGCAGGATCCATCTGGATCAACAGAAGAAGACAGAGTCTCTTTCCTCATGAAACTATCTAAAGAGGATCGCCAAACATACCTTTCGAATTTAAGTATCGATGAATGGGAAGACTGCGGCGATCAGTTGCTTGACGAATTCTCCAAGCTACTTTCAGAAATGAAGGAACTGCGCCGCGCTCGACGGAGGACGGCTGCTATGTTCGAAGCGGAAATAAAGAGAAGAAATGATGCTGTTAAGGAGGAAAATTCGGATTTAGAAAAAAAGCTGAATGAAATGAAGACGGGCGGTGCAGAGGTGCTACGTGGTCGTACCCCATGAAGCACAATCGTCACAGGTCAGTGCAGCAACACTATCGACCCTGGTGGTTGAACAGAACTTCGTAATGAGGCCGGCTGCTACTACTTTTATTTCTCTTTATTCTACCTAGTTCGACGTCTCTGAGAAGTGCCATGTTAAGCTGCTGCAAGCAGCAATGAAGATGTCATGCTGAAGATCGCGCCGTGTGTTTCCCATCATCTTACGAAATCTGCTCGAGACAGAATCCTGTTTAGGAGGCATATGTTAATAGCATCATTATACCCTTGTGCAATTGAAATATTGACTGATGAATATGTTTTCTTTTCCTATCAGCACTTCAAATTGCATCGAAATTGCACTCGCTAACTCCCGATAATGCTACCATCCTTGAAACGATTCTAGAGCTTATGTTTCCACCACCTGAAAATGGACGCCATCTGCAATCTATCATATAGTGTCATGAACGCCGGAGATCAAACAAGAAACAAACAATGCGAGAAAGACATAGGAATGCGGGAAGTGGTAAAGAAATAGGCATGAGTTAACTCGCGTCCGAAGCCTGTCTGAATAACGCTGCTGCAAGACGTTTGTAGTCTTCAAGCAACACGGATACATCGCCTATTGCCAGGTCGTTGGCATGTTGGGTTTGGAGAAATCTCTCAATAGGCGGATCGATCTTAGACGGGTTACCGCTGATATTTCTGGGGACTTCCCGAGAAGAAGGTGAAGCCTTGGTCTTCTCTGAAGGAGAAAGAGTGGGGAAACTTCCTGCCGAGTCCGGCGTGCTGCGCCCGAAGTTCCGTATCATCCCTGGAATATGATTAAGCGGATTGATGCTGTTTCCGAAGTTTCTCATTGACTCTAGAGGGGTGGCAGGCAAAGGGTTGGCTTGAGAGGCAACTGACGAAGGCTCATCCTTTAGCGAACCTGCGGTGGCAGCGGCCACTTTCGAGCTGGCCTGCGTCCTCACACTGTCCGTGCTACGATCACGGGGGGTCCTGTGTCCACTGACTAGACCCATGAAGGTATCTTCCGCCTTTGAGCTTAGTCGCCGCAGCGGAGGTCGATCCGGAGTCGCTAACGAATCTCCCACTGCAATATCCCGAGAGACACCCTTATCAAGGGAAGGGGGAGAAGTGACCAGACGACGAGCTTCTGCTAACGTCTTCGGCAAGATTGGACTTCCACCGTCTTTGGTGGATAGTTGGCTGGATTGCAACTCCTTGAGACGGCCGAACAGAAAGTTGAAGCTGCTGTCCAGCGATGCGCTAATATTCTTCAGCCCTTGATCAGCAGTGTTGCGAACAGCATCGTTGGCAGCACCAAGTACTTTTGACGGAGGTTGGAACAAGTTCAAACGAGGTTGTTGACTTGCCGCGGGTGGCTGTTGCTTAAGTAGTCTCTCGGCAGCATCTTCCTTGACATCTGATTTGGAGATCTCCGGAGAAGCGGTCGCTTTTGTAACGGTAGACACGGGGGCCTTGCTAATTCGTTGAGAGGTGTCAGGGCTGTCAGAAGTAACTGCCGTCTCATTGTTCAGCTGAACTTTTCCTTCCTGCGCTTCGTCCGCTCGTAGCTCCGATAGTTCTACATTTTCCAGGAAGCTGATTGCAGCTTCAAGATTGGTTAAGCAGTAAGCCGTCTCACCATCGATTTTGTTTGACGATCGGAACCGTTGTATGAAGAGAAGATTACTAATGATGTTGATACCTTCTGGCGGGCAAGTGATAAGCGTATAGATCAAGGTGGGTAGGATCTCATCAGCCGAGGAAGACGAAGGAAGAAGTTTTGTCAATGCATCAACGATAGCCTTGTGTGCGCCAGCCAGATGCTGAAGCTTCCCCAAAGGATATTTCGCTTCATTCATTCTTGCCAGACATTCACGGGCAACGGAGAGGCACTGATCCGCCTCTTTCTGATCCTCTTCGTTGATAGTGGCCATGTCGATGTCAATCCCGAGGTCCTTCAGATTTATCCCAACCAAGAGTAACGCTGCTGTTTTTGAACGCAACTTCTCATCCCGAACTTCATCCAATGTGCTCTTATGCCTCCAGATTTTGTCATAGACGCATTCACAAGCTCTTCGCTCGATAGCTTCTTCCAGAGCTGCCCCTTTAGAGGCGAGCGACTTTCGAGCCTTTCGCCGTTCAGCAACCTCTGATGCTGTCAACATCTGCCGGCTGGACGGAACATTGCCTGAATCTCTGTTTGTTGATTTAGACTGGCCGAACCCCCGAGAAGCACGGGGTGGGGGAGGGTTAGGAGAAGGATCACGGTTTATTCGAGACGCCAGGGCTGATATATGAGTAGCAATGTGCGATTCAGCCCGTACGTAAAAGTCTTGAAAGCGCTGAGATATCTTCTCGATGGTCGGCGGAGAGGAGTGTACCTTGGCGCCCAACGAGTTAACGAACCTAGAAGAAAGATATGTTAATGCTTGAGCAAGTTGTAAATGGAGTAGTCTGACCTACCGGTCAGTTAGGCTCATTAGTTCAATTGGTAGCTCTTCGTGTTGATCCTGCAGGCCCCGAGACAGAACAGAGACCTCTTCGCCCTGTTGCCCATCATCTCCTGCTTCCGATTCCGAGGAACCCCTCTTCTCAAACAAGTCCGGACCATTATCTTGCTCATCGTCCTCTACTGACAAAGGAAGGGGGAGCGCGGCCGAGTCCACCAACTCTGGAATTGCTACTGATTGAACAGTCTTCGCCCTGGTGCGGGCAAAGGAGCTCAATTCCGGGTTGGCCATTCGCGGAAATGATCGAGCAGTATGGAGACGAGGCTTCGCAGCGTCATTGACCGAAGAATGCGACGACATGGCTCTTCAAAGCATGCACCCTGCGCTTTTTATTATTGAAAGCTATTCCCTCGCAGTCCAGCTGATCCGGGCAATACCTGCGTCTCCGTGACAAAATGGGTCAGCGGGTAATCAGGACAGATTTCGAGATACAGCAGAAGAACAAATCGAAGAACTGAGATGAGGAACAAAACAGCAAACAACTGAAGGTATCAACCAGTACCAACAGACATATTAAACAGCCAGTAAAACTCTCAACAGTGACAGAGATGTAGTAGAGTATATGTAGCTTAGAGAGGTAGATGATTACCGCTTTGGGAGAGTCCCCACAACTGGTGTCACGCGTTTCTAGTCTATCACGTGCGCTATCATCTGGCTATCTCCGGGCTGCGTCACTGCCCCCAGCGATAAGTCATCGCCGCTGATAGGCATCTGTACGACGGTGATTGCTTCTTCGAGTCATCCCCAAGATTCCCTTGAATATCGATTTCCATCATGAAAAGCAGCCGGAAAAGGACTAAACGACACGTTCTGCAAGATATGAGTATATCGGGTCTTCTCTTATCTGTTGCCCTGCTTCCGAGCGTCGTCTCCGCTCACGATCATGTATACTTCGACCCTTCATCGTCCGGTTCACCCTTCCTTGGCCCCCAGATCCCTCTAACAGGCCCTCCAGCCCTTACGGGTACTCATGAGTTTGTAAGGTTTATACGTCGATGTCTTTAGATGCAAAAAACTGATTGTTCTGATTCAATAGACGCTTCGCCACATATACCAGCGAGGTACTCATGACCAACCAGATCTTCACAGGAGGCTCGATATCAAGCCACACACACGCCTTTGGGCTGTTTCAGACGATGGCCTTGAGAAGGAACTCGTCACATTTGATACTCCCCTCGTTGCTTCATCAAGCCCTCTTACCATCCAGCGGCTTGCGGACCGCCGGCTGTCAGTCATTGAAGGATACCTGGCGGCTGCGAGGTCAAGCGGGGAGGCGGTCGCACTGTCGCCGTCAGAGTGGGTGATGGATACATTGGCTGGTCCAAATGTCACAGATAAAGAAAGCGTTCTCACATTTGCAAAGATGACGGCCAACGACTATATCGAGGAACCTGGCACCGAGGACTGGCACTATATTCACGGCCGTTTCAACTATTCGTCAAGCTTTGGGTGGCAGTCGGACGGATTGAGGGGCCATATATATGCAGATAAAACGAACAGCACTATCGTCATATCCTTGAAAGGAACTACCCCGGCCCTGTTCGATGGTGCCGGCACAACCACGAACGATAAGATCAACGATAATCTGTTCTTCAGCTGTTGCTGTGGGCAGGGAGGCTCGTACCTCTGGCGACAGGTCTGTGACTGCCAGCAATCAGCTTTTACAGCCAACTTGACTTGCATCGTTGAGGCCATGAACGACGAAAATAGATATTACAGGGCCGCCATCGACCTTTACTCGAATGTGACAGACATGTATCCAGACGCAAATGTCTGGTTGACAGGCCATTCTCTGGGTGGTGCGATGTCCAGTCTCCTTGGCCTTACATTTGGACTACCTGTCGTCACGTTCGAGGCTGTCCCTGAAGCCCTGCCTGCGGCTCGCTTGGGTCTACCGAGTCCGCCGGGTCACGATCCCAGACTTCCTCAGTCGCGACAATACACTGGAGCTTACCATTTTGGACACACGGCCGACCCAGTATATATGGGAACGTGCAACGGAGTCGGTTCTATTTGCACATGGGGTGGGTATGCGATGGAGTCCGCCTGCCATACCGGCCAAATGTGCGTTTATGATACCGTTGAAGATAAGGGATGGCGTGTTGCACTTTCAACCCACCGTATCAAAGCCGTGATTTCCGACGTCCTCGAGGTATATGAAGACCTCCCTCCTTGCGCACCCGAGGAGGAGTGCTATGATTGCGAGTTGTGGAAGTTTTTCAAAAGCAATGGGTCTGAAAGCACGACGACTTCGACTACTACCACTACCACCGCTCCTACCACAACCCGGACGTCGACATGCCAGACACCCGGCTGGTGGGGCTGTTTAGACGAAAGCACGACCACTACGACCACCACTTCTACGACTACCACCACGACTACGTCGACGTCAACATGTAAAACTCCCGGGTGGTTCGGCTGCAAAGATCCGACTACAACGACAGAGGCAACTCCCGTCCCACCTGTCACTACCACCATACCCACGCCAACTACATATCCAACT